TCAGCTCCAGCGGCTCACAGTGTTCTCTCTCGTGCTCATGTGCTCCCTGTGACCTCAAAAGTTCTTTCTCTTTTACTCCCATTCCTCTCCCTACCTGTGCCAGCGGATCTGGGTTAGCAGTGGCCTCCTCTAGGAAGCCCTTGCTCTCTGTCCCTTTTAGTCCCTCCCAGATGCCATTATACTTACCACATGATGCTGTGGTTGTGTCTCAGTGTCTGTTTTTCCTTTGGAACTTGATTTTTTTTATTGCAGTCAGGGGTCATGTCTAACTCATCTTTGTGTTCTCATCATCCAGCATGGAGCTTGGAACATAGACAGTTTGCTCAATGATATTTGTTGACTGAATTAGTGAACAAGATAAAAAAAAGATCACTGCCCTTCTACAAATGTCAGCTTTGTTGTGTGGCATAACCCGTGCACTGCAGTACAGCTCAGAAACAACATCTGCTAGCTTTTGTCTTTGCAAAGGAGAGACTATCACCACAACACTGTTATCCACCTCTAGGAGATTTTCATCTTTAACTCTTGTGCCTGGAGTTTCTTGGTGAAGACGGTGACAGGTCTCTGGCAATTTCTAGTCTCCAGGAGACATGAGATGCAGCAGCCTTTGTCCTGCAGCTTGTGTGAGCATTTTAGTCTAAAGCCTCAGGGGTGCATCACCTTCCAGAACAGGAGCAGAGAGAGAGGGGATGGACGAAGGGCATTTCCGGGGGGGGGGGGGGGAGAGGGGGCGTGGCTACAGTCTGCGCAAGGAACAGGAAGTGTGTGACTGAGCCCAAGTGCAGGAGGAGCCTGAGAGTCTTTCTTCTTCTATTCAGAAGGTCATAGCGAAATGGCTGCCTCTGTTGTTTCCTCCAAAATCATCGCATGTAGAACTGAGTTGGCATCCACTGCTGACATTTTGGGTTTTATTTGTGCTGAAGTGATGCAGCTTCATGAACATTCAGTGCATAAGCTTGACATTCCCACTCAGTTACAGTTTAAAATGCATGGGGGCTGCACTGTGTATCCCCACTTCACGTGTAAAGCACCGAAGATGTGTGATAGTCACCGTAGGTGTTCGTATAACTTTCTGGCAGCTGAAGTCGGGACCCTTCTAGAATGAGTGGCAGGGCCAGGTATTTATAGACGGATGCAAATGGTAACTTGCAGCAGCAAGAACGTTTTCGAGATGTTCCTGTCTGGACAGGTGCCGTGTGGATGGAGATTCTTCTTGAGCATGAGTCCAAAGCTGATGTGGGAGGAGTCTCCAAACAGAATTTGCACCATCCTTAGTTTTCAGAGCTGTATATGGCAGTGGAATGTGCAGAAATCTTTATTTTTCACTAATGGAAGGGCAGGCTGAGGCTGAGAGGATATATTTGGAGTCTTGGTTCCCAGAGCAAATTAATGTATTGGCCTTTACAAAAAAAGGGGGTGGGGAATACAGACATAACCTTCGAGGCTGTAGGACCTTAGTTTTCTTCTATGCTAGTCTTAGAACTGTGTTGACTTGTAAAAACTTGGACTTGCTTTGTGGTCTGGTAATAGTATATTCTCATCCAGGTCACATACTCATTTTACCATATCTCACTCAACAGAATTCTAAGTGACATTAACATGACATTAACCTGGCCAGGCACGGTGGCTCACGCCTGTAATCCCAGCACTTTGGGAGGCTGAGGTGGGCGGATCACGAGGTCAGGAGATGGAGACCATCCTAGCTAACACGGTGAAACTCCGTCTCTACTAAAAATACAAAAAAATTAGCCGGGCGAGGTGGCGGGCGCCTGTAGTCCCAGCTACTCGGGAGGCTGAGGCAGGAGAATGACGTGAACCCGGGAGGCAGAGCTTGCAGTGAGCCGAGATCGCACCACTGCACTCCAGCCTGGGCAACAGAGCAAGACTCCGTATCAAAAAAAAAAAAAAAAAAAAAAAAAAAGGCCGGGCGCGGTGGCTCTCGCCTGTAATCCCAGCACTTTGGGAGGCTGAGGCGGGTGGATCACAAGGTCAGGAGATGGAGACCATCCTGGCTAACACAGTGAAACCCCATCTCTACTAAAAATACAAAAAACTAGCCGGGCGAGGTGGCGGACGCCTGTAGTCCCAGCTACTCGGGAGGCTGAGGCAGGAGAATGGCGGGAACCCGGGAGGCGGAGCTTGCAGTGAGCCGAGATCCGGCCACTGCACTCCAGCCTGGGGGACAGAGCGAGACTCCGTCTCAAAAAAAAAAAAAAAAAAAAAAAAAAAATTTTACCTTAGCCATAAAATAAAGATGATTGTTTCAAGAGGAATCTAGTAATGGACTGAAAACGAAAGAGGCGTTTTGGTATCCTTGTCCTCCATTGGAAACAGGAAATTGCTGGCAGAGAGAGCTGTGATGATCTCATTTAGCTAGTTTGTTAGCGTACAGCGCTATAGGTAATAACCCAACTGCTTTAGGATTATAATATGTGCACTCATATTTGTCGTAGTTTATAGTTAATATAGTTCACAGATACATGGCTGGGCTTTAAACTTTCAGAATAAATAAAATTAAGTGTTGGATAAAGTATATGAAAACCATTAAGTCTGGGGACCCACTGTGCTGGGTTAAGAATCTAAATATACTCCTTAGTAATAATGTATCTGTTAGACATCTCACAGGTTTGTCCAAAACGAACTACACATGTCACCGAATTAGACTGCATGAGATTCCAAGCTATGCCCCTTTTAACAATGTCACAAGAAACGTTTGAAGGGTCTATAAGGAGTTGTCTGAATTGAACTGTTTGGTTGTAGATTAGATCAGTAGACAAAAGCATATCTGAAAACTAAAAGTTCACGTTCAGAAACATTTTTGAATATTCAAAGAGGAAAGCATTGGGATGTTGTAACTAGTATTTTCACATTTTGTTTCTGTAACACTTAGAACATAATTATTACTAAAGTTGTTACTTAGGTTTGGGGGAAAAGCTGTTGATATTACCATCAGATGCCTGTCTTGTTAGTGCTCTCTTCTTCTGTATCCAGGTTCAGACAACTTTTTCCTTATATTTGTAGATAATTGTTCCAAAAAGTGGTACAGATGGGGAGGAGGTAAACAAACTGATCCTAACCATTCTTCACACAAATAACCTCACCTTCTCACCCTCCTCCACTCTATTTTCTGCTATATTTTCCAACAAAAGGAAGGTAAATATGAGAAACTGCAAGCATAGCCTGTAAGTCTCTAGAACCCAATGTCTTCTGTATGGAATAAGCTTTCAATCAGTTAGAGTTTTGTTCTATTTTTGTCCATGCCTGCTGCAGTCTACTTTTATGAGACGTGCAAATTATAAGAAAATAAATTGACAAGGTAACTTTCCTGGCCTCAGGTCATTGTATATTTGAATAAATCTGCAGCTGAAATATCAAAATCTGTGTTCCTGGAATGAAAGTGGTAGAAGCCTTGCCCATGCCCCATCTGAATTAGCGAGAATTTCACAGACCGAGTAGGTTGGTTTGTTCATATACATTCACAAGAAGCTGAAAATTCACTCGATTTTCCAAACCAGTGTTTTCTACTCTTGGAGGAAATACACTGACTGAATTGTTAGAAGAGGGTTACTCAGGGACACCAGAAACTGCTCTTCACAGATGTTCTTTCAGAAGGCACAGTCATTTGACAACATCCACCAAGAGGCTCCCGCCGGATTCGCCTTGGCCAGTGGGCAGGAGGAACTGTAGAACCCCAGGAGGTACCTCATTGGCGCGTCCAGCTTCCTTAAGAAAGTTCCTTGGAGCAGAGGACACTGCGGGAGAACAGGCCTTCTGTTGCCTTATTCCATAGTCCACTGGGTTAACAAAACAAAACAAAAATGCTTTTGGGAATTACCAGGCCTTCTATTGGAATTAAAACAATACCATAAGAAGAACAAACAAATAATATACAGTGCAATAATAGATACTTAAAAGGAAACTATATGTTCAGTTGCCCCAGCTCTCAGGAAAGGTTTCTCTAGTCGGCTCCTGGAACTAGAATGTTTTTATGGAGAAATATCTGCCTGTTCCTTAGAACTCCCCAAAAACCTAACTGGGATCTTCATTTGCTCTATGGGACAGTCCAGGGTGGTAGCAGGGTTTCAGAAGGGCTCAGACCTAACACCCTGAAGCCACACCTAGTATCATGTTTCACAGGGGTCTTTGACCTGCAGGTAGATGAGCAGGCTAAATTCAAACCAAAGTGTTTCACTGGATTCAAAATACCATTCCAGAGGCGATACTAGATCCTTTCCAGAGAGGGCAGTGGGGATAAGAAAACTCGCATGTATTATCAATATGTGTCCTCCTTCGTGTCAAGCTTATTTTCAACTTGATGGATCTGTAATTTATTTGCAAGGCTAAACCAAATTGATATTAATTCCTATCCAGCCTCTGAATACTCACATTGTTAGCTTGTAACTTTAAATAGTATAGATAATTGCGGAGTCTCAAAATGAATGACACAAATTATGTTTTCATTAACTGAGATCATACAAGGATTACTTCAGTCTTAAATTAGAGAAACTCAGGTAAATAATTTAATTGCATTAACCTCCCCAGTGAACATATATTCAATAGAGGCATGCTTACTGGCAGGTTAGAGAATCAGTTGCTTTTAAAGTTAAGGAACTCTTCAATAAGAGCACAGCATTTCCCAGATTATTTCTCTCATTTTTCACTAGGATGTAGAGTTAGACAATATGGTTTGGTAGTTAAGAGTGCAGCCTCTGGAACTCAAGTTCATCTTCCAGTTCTACGGCTTCCAAGCTGGTGCCCTTGGGAATGTTGTCTAACCTGACTGTGCCTCAGTTTTCTCATCCTGTAAAACAAAGGCAGTGTCAGGGGCCACCTTGCAGAGTTATTGTGAGGATTCAATGAGCTGATGCATGTCACCGCCTGCCACATAGTAAGCACGTGAAGTAGATGTTCACAGTAGTAGATATTCTTAGAAACGTATCAGTTTGTAGTCATGGGAGCTCTGTGTCCTTAGTTGAATTTTCTTCTCTCCCTTCCGACAGGAAAATGGCAAATGCACGACAGCGGCCTTCTGAACATCACCAAGGTATCCTTCTCAGACCGAGGTAAATACACGTGCGTGGCTTCTAACATCTACGGCACTGTGAACAACACGGTGACCTTGCGCGTCATCTTCACCTCTGGAGACATGGGTGTCTACTACATGGTCGTGTGCCTGGTGGCCTTCACCATCGTCATGGTCCTCAATATCACCCGCCTGTGCATGATGAGCAGCCACCTAAAGAAGACCGAGAAGGCCATCAATGAGTTCTTTAGGACCGAAGGTGCAGAGAAGCTGCAGAAGGCGTTCGAGATCGCCAAGCGCATCCCCATCATCACCTCTGCCAAAACTCTAGAGCTTGCCAAAGTCACCCAGTTCAAAACCATGGAGTTCGCCCGCTACATCGAAGAGCTCGCCAGGAGCGTGCCTCTGCCGCCTCTCATTATGAACTGCAGGACTATCATGGAGGAGATTATGGAGGTGGTTGGGCTGGAGGAGCAGGGGCAGAATTTTGTGAGGCATACTCCAGAGGGCCAGGAGGCTGCAGACAGGGATGAGGTCTACACAATCCCCAACTCTCTGAAGCGGAGCGACTCCCCCGCCGCCGACTCGGACGCCTCATCGCTGCATGAGCAGCCTCAGCAAATTGCCATCAAGGTGTCAGTTCACCCACAGTCCAAAAAAGAGCATGCAGATGACCAAGAGGGTGGACAGTTTGAAGTCAAAGATGTAGAGGAGACAGAACCGTCGGCTGAACATTCCCCTGAAACTGCAGAGCCTTCTACTGATGTCACATCCACCGAGCTAACATCAGAAGAGCCAACACCTGTTGAGGTACCAGATAAGGTACTGCCGCCAGCTTACCTGGAGGCCACAGAGCCAGCAGTGACACACGACAAAAACACCTGCATTATTTACGAAAGCCATGTCTAATACCAACCCCGAAAAGCTATGCATATCAAGAAAATCAGGGGCTGCTCCTTGTAATACAGATGTAGTACGCACTTGCCGCTAAGCCTTACCAGGAGACTCTCATCCCTTAGGTAGGAGTGATGCCACTTTAAAAGGAGAAACACCTGCCTGCAGTGAATGGGACTGGAATTCCCCCAGTAGAAAAGGATGCGAGAAACATCAGGGTGCAGAATTGATATCAGACAGAAGGTGTCTATGTGATAATGAGTTTTAGAGGCTGATCTCTGCCAAATACCTTAATTGGTGATGCCTTCTTGGCAAAGAGTACACCACTGTAAGATATTCTGAGCTCAAGAACCCTGTCCAATGCACCCTGCATTGCTTTTCCTTTTAAAAAGTGTAGGTCTGCTACAATAGCAAATGCACGTACGTGGGTTTTTTGCACTTTCTTCTCAGTTTTGATTACTTTTGCTGTTCCTTTATAATGGGGTCATTGTTATTAATACTAATTGTTCTTTCTGGTTTAGTCCTCATTGCCATTTTTGTCCTCATTTTTCCCTAGAACACGTACCTCAGAGACTTTGGTATCAGTCACCAGTACCAGGGCTGATATCTACAAGTCACATTACATTTGTCATGTTCCAAAGTAGTTATGAGGTTTGTTTTTGGTTTTTTTTTTTTTTCATTCCCCAGGCCTATTTTCATAGATTGCTTTTTTTTGTTTGTTTCCAACGAAGCTGCTGTTGTGAAACTGAGAAAAACTTTGCCCCGGAATAGCACTTTAATAGTTAAAAATGTGTTTACCTGTCTGATTCAGAGAGCCTTTTGGTGAGTTCAGCTGAGATGTAGAGGGAGACTGTAAAAGGTTAAATATACCCACACCACCCACGAAAGTCACTTTTTATGTTGAAGTTACATCATCCTCCAAATAAAGACTGATTCTTTACCTGGAAAATGTATTGCTTCCAAAGACATAGGGTTCAATGTATTCCTGTAGGTTATAGAATATTGGTTGGCTTCCAAACAGGCTTGCAGGGACCAAATGCTGTTGGATGACATATAACAAGGTCCACTTTTTGTGAACTGCATAGCTGACTTGGTTGTCCTTAAAGGGGAGAGCGAAAGGTTAGGGTAATAGCAAAGGGAACTGTGCCATCAAATTTTATGCCAAAATTGTTGAATAATTATTCAGTCCTGCAAGAAAGTGGTTATATGTGAGGTGCATGACCTTATGGAAAGAAGACAAAATTAGTCATCCAAAGGCTGTGCCAATAACCAGCTGCCTGACTTTGGACAAGTCTGGGCCTCAGGTCCCTTATCTGTAGAAGGGACAGATGAGATGAGCTCTGAGCACCATTGGAATGGTCTTGCTGTCTCACAGAACCAAACCGATATTAACATCCTTGCTCCTTTTCACAATCACTTTAAAGTTTTTTGCATTCATCTCTCGGTCCACCTAACATTTTCATGCTGCATTACTTAAATATGTTGGTTTTGAGAAATCGTAGCATTTTAAACAAATTGTGGATCTTCTCCTTCCAAAAAAACCATTAGGACCACATCTTCAATTAAGATTTAATATCAGTGAGAATGAGCAAAGGAGACAGTAACCTTAATACACTCATAGGGGCCTTGGCCACATCAGGTAGTGGGGTTGTGATGTCCAAGATTGCATGGACCACATTGGTGATGAGAGTAGACCCAGATGTTTAGTCCTCACTCTGTCATCATCTGAGGAAGTGACCTTGGACAACTCCCTTCCTCTCTCTGGGGTTTGATCTTTTTCATCTGTAAAATATGCAGGTAGTACTCGAGGGTCTACAGGATCCCTTCTATTTGAAACATTTATAGTTTTGTGGAAAGTTTGCAGTCTTCCAGGATAACCTACCCCCATTGCATGAGACAAGAAAAAATGGGTCCATGAAGTTGGATGCTTTTGCCATCCAAACTTTACAACAAACATTATCTGGCTCTGTAATTGAGGGCAGTGGGCTTGGCTTTAAACCTAGCCTTGATTTGTTTATGTATAGGTAACTGTTATAGAAGGTGATAGGACTAGTTATGGAGTTTGATTAGACATCTCTTGAAAAGTACTGAACTGTTAACTTCTGGTTAGAAGTGCTTTGGGCAGTCACATAAAGAAATGAGCAGTGAGAAATCAGGAGAAAGTATGACTCCTGTTCAGGCTCTCGGGACTAGCATCGTATGTTTTTGGGTTGCGGAAAAGTTTTAACGCCACCTCTTAGGATATAAAAATTTTCCAGTTTTCATGGAGGTCCACAAATTATTTACCATGGGTTTAAATGCCCAAAGCGACAAGAGAGGACTTACGTTCATTTTGTGATAATGTATGAATGTTACCCCATTCTATTCCGTTGTCATTCCACCCAAACCCGTGTGCAGGTTTCCACATGGAAGCAACAGGAGAAGGCATCCATTCCACCTAGACCTTGAATAGTGATAATAAGCTAAAAGTGGGCAGATTTTCAGTGGAGCAAGAGCAGAAATACGTGGCCAAAGAATGTTTCCCGATTGGTTTTGCTGCTTTAGACTGCAGTGGGAAGAGCTTATGTAGATTTTCAAAACTTTCTCCCTCTTTAAGGCATCGTAATGCTCTCAGTTTTGATAATAGCTGACATAAAGGGAGGTTGACTTAAAATGGGAATTTCTCCTTCCAAAAATGCTACACTCTTCCTATCCATCCTACAGCTTCTTTATGAAATAAGAGAGGCTCTCCTGCTAGAATATGAAATGCAGAAGACCTCACGACTTTCAGCTGATTTTTCAAATACAAAGTGAACTGTTCAGCTTCATAGTAATTCATGTGAGCGTGACCGAACGTGTGTGCATACACACTCATGCACATTGGACTCATTTGGGCAGTTTTAAAAGCTTGACACTAAATCCAAAGCCTCGTCCTTTGGGTCGTATGTAGTCATTCGTAAAATCAACTTCTGGCTTCTGAGTCATCCTGGTCCTATCTCTAGCAATGTTTTTCTTGAAATCCTGAAAATGATTCAAATATGTGTGTATATTTAATTCACTTAGATGATCTGTAAACTTGGATGGTATTTATTCTAAATGGGGAAAACAATTTTATATGGAAAATCTATGTAATTTATAATGGTTTTGTTTTATATATTATATTTTCATATCTTTAGGGCACATCTACTATCCTCATCTTTTTGTATACCATACTTAGCAAAAAGAAATACTAATACTTGACTAAAATCTCTAGGAACCAAATGGGATACATGTGATATATAACTTATAGAAATCGCTCTAAAAATCTCTGAATGTCTCATCCATCCCAAGCATTACTGTGCTGTGTCATTATGTCCAGAATGATTTGTCTTGGATGCTTATGAGCATTCCTTTTTCACAACTAAGGCTGAAAGACCTGACATCTCACACAATGGGGTTCCGGAATTCCCCTTTCCTCATTTATCTGTTTTTATTGTTTGTTTCATTTTTAATTGCACAAGTCTATGTTGTCTAAACTTTGTTTTGAAGGGCAAGTGTGAGATAACAAGAAAGCAATGTGATAGAAAGACTGAATGAATTTAACCATGGCTATGTAAATTATTTTAATGGACTGGTAAGATGTTTCAAGTCTAATGCTTGGATCTTTATTTACTGGTGATCTAGGATCTGCTCAGCTCTTTAGCACATGAAGAAAATGTCAGGTACAAAGGACATTTGCATGTTTTGAACAGCACACTCTAAGCCCAGTGCAGCCAACACAGATTGACTTGACTGTAGAAACACCAATTCCAGCTGCTGGAAGAAATGGTTTAGAAAGGCAAACCAGATACCTTTTATTCTGCCCTAGGAAATACAGTGTTGATCAGTGCTAAAACTCTTCAGTAGTAGTCACTGTGGTTCTTTTCCTTTCAGTGTTTCATTTGGTACCAAAATGGAGCATTTACCTTATATTTCAGATACTCTGTTTTCTTAGCATTGTTCAGATACTTTCCTTTATTGCTCTTCACATATCCTTTGGCAGTCACTTGAGTAATTCTATAAATGTTTCTATTCTTGGTTTTTAAACCAAGTTATTCGTAGTCTTTAAATACCTACCAAATCTCATCATATTTTCACACCCATATCTTGGGCATCAAGATACTGGTCATTTAAAAAAATCCTTTAGTAGATAACACCGTTTATTTTCCCAGTGACATTTTTGGGGTTTCTTCATTGATCAACCAGGTTTGGGTTAAACAAATCAATTGTGGGGGAAAAATCAAATAAAACAATTGCTTATTGTATTTTCTAAAGGACTGAGCATTTATCTTTTATTCAAGAAGATATCATATGAGAATGATAACGATCTTTAACAGATTTTTTGGAGATGGAACTTATAAAGAGGCTAATACTAAGAATACTACAATCAAAATTGAAGCTAGAGAATGTAAAAATAGAAAGTAAATAGTTCTGAGAATATTCTGGCATAAATTATTTTTATTTAGCCAATATATAGCCTCCAAATGTGTATCTCAGACACCACAGAGCTGCTAACAGTGAGAGTCAAGGAAGATGCTTGTACTTAGATTTCGTTTGTTGTATTTCAGTAGTTCTGGATGTCCTTTGTTAAAATTGGAAAATGGAAAAATGCCTCTAGACAGAAATGTCAATCTGGTGATTTTGTGAACTGTAAAATGCTCACTTTTAAAAATAAAGATGTAAACAAATGACTCATACATAAGTTGGTATTACAGTAGCAAAAACAGAAAACCATGTGATCCATCCTGTATTTTGATTGATGCTTTAATAAAAGGTTTGCACAGGTGTGTGGAATGTGTGTTGTGTCCCACCTGAAGGGTGTGTAACTGTGGCTTGACTCATTCTTTCCAGTGGTATAAAACCTGCAGTCTGTTCTTACCCCTACCCTGTGCATCTGCAGCATTTCTTGGGAAAAGAGAAAAATGAAGTAATTTGTATTTAAAACCTGCATAATTTTGTCCCACTACAGAAGCCTAACTCTGTACTGACAAATCTTATAGCAATCGATTTTAATCTATATCAAGAAATAATTTTTAGCACATCACATCGAGCTAGGTTTAGAGAATCCAAGAAAGAAACTCACATCCCTAAAACATTCCACAGGGAGAAGGCATCAGTAGCAGAAATGCCACAAAGCACCTAAACAACACTAAATCCAAGAACATGCTAAGTAGGTTCATTTGACAATCAGTAAACAGCAAAAATGAAATTCCTCTTGGATGAGATGATTTTGTGGAGTGTATATAAGTGAACCAAGAAAGGAGACTACCAAATGGAGAGTGCAACAAAAGAAATGGGTGGCAAATCAGTATTGTGCAGGGCAGACCAAACAGGCAAACCGAATAGCTGAGTGAGTTATCCAATAAACAGTGCTTGTAGCCATCCACAGGTTTGCTCAGGTAAAAAAGGATTTAAGCAGATTTCACTGGCATAAATGGGAAAATTAACAGCGTGTCATCACAAACGAGGAAACAGGAAACTTTTGTCCTAACAGGAAATTCTTGCTGATCCCTATTTTCAAGACCAGAACAAACTGTTAATTTTTTTTTTTCAGGTTTTGGAATGCCGCGTTCTGCGTGGGTCTAAAAGGGATGTATCAGCCAGGCTTAACATTAACAAATGATTTTCAAAGAAGCGTGTAGTCACAGAGTTGGAAAATACATGTGAGGGTATCTGATTTATTTCAAGATTTGTATTATACAAATTTATTCTACAATATCCCTGGCAAGTAGTAGTTCAGCTCTGTCTGAAAATCTCTGAGAAAGGGGGAGCATATGATCTCATGTGTGTTCTGTTGTTAGGTGTTAAGTGCTGAGTCAAAAATCCTAATAGTAGTACCCCACCAGTCCTTGTTGAGACATCTGGAGCTGGAAGCATGAGTTAGTCCTGCCACAATAAAATTGTCTTTACTGTCAAGACAAAACTAAAATTATAAATATATATAAAAGATTACAAAAAAAGATTGGGTGCACCTGATACTACTACATTAGCTATGTGCCATGTGGTAAACACCCTTTTGAGTGAATGGTTTCTGCCAACAGGGATGTTAAAGACAAAATCAGTTATACCCCTCACCCCTTGAGATGCAGTAAAGCTACAGCTCCTCAAAGAGTTGTTCAGTAACCAGGGAAGAAAATGAGCGAACCAGCAGATTAATTGCCTCAGTTGATTAGTATATTTTTGAAGGACCATTAGAATTGACTTCCTGAAAGAAGGACAATTTAGATAGATAGATAGATAGATAGATAGATAGATAGATAGATAGATAGATAGATAGATAGATAGATAGATGATAGATACAGCTATAGATAAATATGTGTATGAAGTGGCATATTGGCGTATTTTAAAATAGCAATTGAAGTATAGCCGGCACCAATTGCATTTACACTGTTAGATAAAATAAGGACACAAGGGGAAAATAATTTTCCTAAAATATGAAGTAACAAATATTACATAATCTTTAAAAATGAAGGTTGATACAGTAATATGAGTTTTTCAAGAACAAATTTCACGCTACTGATGTATTTTCTACCTCTGGCCCAGTTCATTGAAAGAGGTGAATTGTTTTGGTGAGCCCTTGCAGCTAACTAAACAAAGTGGATTTTCTTGCAATTGATTTGTGTTTTAAAGTTCATTATGGAATAGAAATCCCAGTGAACCATGCAAAAAATCACCTGAGCATAGAAATCCAACATGGGGACTTTTTGCTGTTCAGCATAAATGGTGCACAGCATCTATTTCCCGAAAGTTTTCATGATTTATATGAAGCTGATGTACATTGGCGACCCCTTAAGTGACGAGTGCCTCTGATTTAAGTCAGATTTACTACTGTGTCTGCTGGTGCTGTAGACTTCTGTTTAGACACTTGGTGAGATGGATGAACAAAGTCCCAAAGCCTTACGAGGAATCATAATTCTACAAACCACCAAAGTTTTTACACAAAATGGAAAGAAAAACGTGCGTCTGAAGAAGATAAAAGTAATCCTGCAACAGCTGCATAGATTCCCTCATAGTTAGCTGGTATTTTCTATTCTCTTTCCTGCTAGCATTACCTCAGCTGTCTGACCAGCAGACCAACTTCTTATGCGTAATGTAAAATACTTGGTTATAGAATAGATTCCAAGAGAAAATTCATCTACTTTGTAGCAGGCCTTTTATCAGTTTAACACTGTGTGTGTCTGAAATTATTTAAAACCTTACAAAAACTAGGACCTGGTGTCAAATTTATGGAAGTGTTTTCATCTAATAAGAAATTTGATCTGTGATGATTGTTGAGAAAAGAAAAAAAGAAAATGTTTTAAATAATCTGAAAGTGGTAAGACCTCAGAAAATTTAATTGCATAGTCTACATTCTATTTGTAGGGAAAAAATGGCAGTCAATAAGAGGAATCTGTGATTGTTAGATTGTTTAATGTGCAGCATAACTTTCTGTATCAGTTCAGCCTAAATTATTTGTTTTCACAATAATAGTTGAGATGCACTAATGATATTTCTGAACCCTGTCAGATCCTGAAAAAAAAATCCAAATTTAAAAATAACTATTTTAGTAGCATGTTGACTATTTTGTTACCTTATCTCGTTCCATAATGAATTTGAGGTGATTGGATTAAAATATATTCGACTGCCTTTGAATCCTTTGAAATTGGTAATTGCTGTGTTTCATACAAGCTCACAAACTCTCAGTAACTTATTAGTCAAACATTTTACTCCCCATCATTTTGAATCAATGAGAGATTTACAGTATGATTATAAAAGCAGAGCAGGTGGGTGATCTATAAATGTTTCTTTAGGAGATAGATCGCTGGAACAGGGTCACAATGACACTGGAAGGGTTCTCATTCAAAGCCACTGAAATGTCACCATGAAAGGTTTATTTCTTCAGTAGAACATTGTTCTTTTTATGCAAACGCCCTAAACTTATAATCACCATTAGCCCATGTCAGGAATTATTAATTTGTAGTATGAGCTGATTTAATCCTATGACTCTACCTAACAACCCACTGAAATCAGAGAGCCTAGGGGGACCGGGATGTTGGAGAGGATAGAGAAGAAGAGGGATGCTCACTGCTGCAGGACTTCTGGGAGGGCTGGCCTGGCTGGAGGATCTGAACAGAGAGAAAGCATCAGAAACGGGGATCTCTTGGAAGCACAGGACACGAGTTGCCTAAGAGAAGCATGAGAAAACTGAAAAATAACTTCTACTTCATCCTGCTCCCCAGGATCAGCCATGCCCGGATAGCAATGAATTTTTAAAATACAACAAATAATCTGTCTACTTAATGTAAATTAATCCTTACAATCACAGAAAGTTATACTCATTAACCTAATTTCTAGTCAAGATATCCCTTCGGTCTGAATCTTGGTTGTCTCCTCAATGATACAAACCTCAATTCTTAAAAGCATTTTGGTCTAAGCTATCTGGTGTCCTGTTATAAAAATAAACTTGTTGCTGGGTGCGGTGGCTCATGCCTGTAATCCCAGCACTTTGAAGGACGGAGGCAGGAGATTACTTGAGGACAGGAGTTCAAAACCAGCGTGGCCAACATGGTAAAACCCCATCTCTACTAAAAATATAAAAATTAGCCGGAAATCACTTGAACCCAAGAGGCAGAGGTTGCAGTTGAGCTGAGATGGTGCCACTGCACTCCAGCCTGGACAACGGAGCGAGACTCCGTCTCAAAATAAATAAAATAAAAATACAAAAATTAGCCTGGCGTGGTGGTAGGTGCCTGTAATCCCAACTACTTGGGAGGCTGAGGCAGGAGAATCGCTTGAACCCAGAAGGTGGAGGTTGCAGTGAGCTGAGAGCCAAGATCATGCCACTGTACTCCAGCCTGGGTGACACAGCAAGATTCTGTCTAAAAAAAAAAAAAAAAAAGTTAACTTGGCAAATCATTTCCAAGAAATTATTCCCTGGGATAGTGGAGGGCTGCTTGTCAGTTAAGTAGCAACATTAAAGCATTCTTCAAATGCTCATTTATTTTGAGAGTGATAAACTAAGATATTTTATTTCCATTAAGCTCAAAAATGTTATTTATACTTGTAGCCTCAATAACATTGCTATACTGTATTTTCCACTCAAAACTCAGGATTCAGCACAAAAATCTAGAGTCCACACTCCAACTATGATGTTTAATTTTATTCAGTAATACCTAACTTTTGTTCTATTTTCTCTGCACATGATGTATTTCAGTTTTGCAAAAGTGTTTATAGTCATTTATCAATAGCAGGATGTAACATTTCCCATCATTTTTTTGGTATCAAAGAGTATTTAGATAAAGCCAGGTAAACCCTTAAGTCTTTGCTTTACCCTCTATAACAATATTCACTCTCCTTCCTCCTTGTCTTACAGGTAGTTCAGCTCAAGTAACAGATAGTTCCATATTCTAAAGAATGAAAAGGTGAAGTAATTTTCCCAAGTCCGTAATAGATTCTGCAGCTACTGGCTATGAGCTCTGTACAAGCGGAGATCAAACCCCTATCTCCACAATGCTTCCCAGGGAATTTAAAGGATTGCTCGCTTCAGTACATTTAATAAAATGAAAACAATATGTCCTCCAGCTAATTAGGATTTGGGGGGACTGGATTTAATGTGTTTATTCATAAGGCCTAGTGAAAGGTTAAAAGTACGTTTTGAAGAAACTCTTTGGACCTAAAACCATGCTTGTCCAGACCCCTTTTCCTGGGATGGTTGCTCTGGTCTGGATGTCTGTGTCCCCCCAGTGCAATAAAAAGGTGGGGCCTTTAGGAGCAGATTAGGGCATGGAGGTGAAGCCCTCATGAATAG